GACACTTATCACACACATTTCTTTCTGATTGGAGATTTGGTCAGCAAGAAGAAAAAATATCAATTGATTTTTAAATATTTTTGAAAAAACATATTAAAAATTTCAAAATTTTTATAAAAAAGACTATTTTTGTTTTAACAAAAATTCAAATATTTCAAAATTTTCCCATAAAATTAATTTTTTTTATTAATTTCTTTCAATTATGCACTGATGACATCATTTCCGGTTTATAAAAATTATTTCAAAATTTTTAGTTTTTTTTAATTCCTCTTTTTTGTGGTTTTCCAATTTTTAAATAAATATCTTCAATATTTTTCCACAATTGTTTTCCTTTATATATTTTTTTCAATATTTTATTCACTTATTTTTTTATTTTCACTCACTTTTCTATTATTTCTAATTCACTTCTTATAGATCACTTTTTCACTTCACTTCACTATTCCGAATTTAAGTACCGTCACCAACCGCCGCCAAACAGGAACTGAATCTTTTTATTCAAAACGATCTTTCAAATAGTTTGATATTTGTTTTTTCACCACAGCATCAGCTACATCTTCGGTTATCTATTAAGACGAACATCGAAAAAGAGTTTCGAAAACAATTATCAAAGGCTTGGACGATTTCAAATAAGAGAATAGAAAAAAGAAAATTAAGAGAGGATTTTTTACAAATATTTTTTCAAGGCCTAACCAAGGCGTGGATTTATTAAAGAAGACTTTTTTCAAGGCCCATCCAACAAGGCGTGGATTTATTAAAGAAGACTTTTTTCAAGGCCCATCCAACAAGGCGTGGATTTATTAAAGAAGACTTTTTTCAAGGTCTATCCAACAAGCCGTGGATTTATTAAAGAAGACTTTTTTCAAGGCCCATCCAACAAGGCGTGGATTTATTAAAGAAGACTTTTTTCAAGGCCCATCCAACAAGGCGTGGATTTATTAAAGAAGACTTTTTTCAAGGCCCATCCAACAAGGCGTGGATTTATTAAAGAAGACTTTTTTCAAGGCCCATCCAACAAGGCGTGGATTTATTAAAGAAGACTTTTTTCAAGGCCCATCCAACAAGGCGTGGATTTATTAAAGAAGACTTTTTTCAAGGCCCATCCAACAAGGCGTGGATTTATTAAAGAAGACTTTTTTCAAGGCCCATCCAACAAGGCGTGGATTTATTAAAGAAGACTTTTTTCAAGGCCCATCCAACAAGGCGTGGATTTATTAAAGAAGACTTTTTTCAAGGCCCATCCAACAAGGCGTGGATTTATTAAAGAAGACTTTTTTCAAGGCCCATCCAACAAGGCGTGGATTTATTAAAGAAGACTTTTTTCAAGGCCCATCCAACAAGGCGTGGATTTATTAAAGAAGACTTTTTTCAAGGCCCATCCAACAAGGCGTGGATTTATTAAAGAAGACTTTTTTCAAGGCCCATCCAACAAGGCGTGGATTTATTAAAGAAGACTTTTTTCAAGGCCCATCCAACAAGGCGTGGATTTATTAAAGAAGACTTTTTTCAAGGCCCATCCAACAAGGCGTGGATTTATTAAAGAAGATTTTTTCAAGGCCCATCCAACAAGGCGTGGATTTATTAAAGAAGACTTTTTTCAAGGCCCATCCAACAAGGCGTGGATTTATTAAAGAAGACTTTTTTCAAGGCCCATCCAACAAGGCGTGGATTTATTAAAGAAGACTTTTTTCAAGGCCCATCCAACAAGGCGTGGATTTATTAAAGAAGACTTTTTTCAAGGCCCATCCAACAAGGCGTGGATTTATTAAAGAAGACTTTTTTCAAGGCCCATCCAACAAGGCGTGGATTTATTAAAGAAGACTTTTTTCAAGGCCCATCCAACAAGGCGTGGATTTATTAAAGAAGACTTTTTTCAAGGCCCATCCAACAAGGCGTGGATTTATTAAAGAAGACTTTTTTCAAGGCCCATCCAACAAGGCGTGGATTTATTAAAGAAGACTTTTTTCAAGGCCCATCCAACAAGGCGTGGATTTATTAAAGAAGACTTTTTTCAAGGCCTAACCTAGGCGTGGATTTCTTAAAGAAGACTTTTTTCAAGGCCTAACAAGGAGTGGATTTATTAAAGAAGACTTTTTTCAAGTCCTAACCAAGGCGTGGATTTATTAAAGAAGACTTTTTTTCAAGTCCTAACCAAGGCGTGGATTTATTAAAGAAGACGTTTTTCAAGGCCCATCCAACAAGGGGTGGATTTATTACCTACCTTGTCGGAAACCACTTTGCTTCTGAACATATTTTTCAAAATTCATCACATTGCCTTTGAAATATTTCAGAATACATTTTTGAAAAATTTTCAAAAGTTTTTCATTCAATTTCAAAACTCGTCCATAAAAAGCTGCTTCCAAATTTTAAGTAAAAAAATAAATTAATTAAAAAAATTGAAATCTCTAGAAAATTTTAAGTCCTTCTCTCCACCAAAAAAGTTAAAAAAACGTAAGTTCCGCTATTTCCAGAACTAAGTTTTGAATATATTCCTAATTCGTTGCCTATTGCAGATAAAAATTATTGAAAATGTGTGATCCTTGCTGTCCTCCCTGTGGACCATGCGGACCCTGCAGTCCATGTGACCCCTGCTGTGCTCCCTTTGAGGTAAGGCTCTCTTCTTTTTTTCGAATATTTTCCATTTTTTCAAGGCCTTTTACCCAATGTCCGGTTTTTGCGGACATTGAGATTCAGGCCCCCATACATTGCGCTACCTAAGTACAAGACATATCCAATAGCCATCTATTTCACCTTTTCAATTTTTGTTCCGAATTGTCCATTGGCTGGGCGAACATTTTCTACAACAACCCAATTGTGGCCTTCTACAAAATATCGGAAATGATACTTCGGATCCTGCTGTCTAGTGCTCCCCCAAATGTTATAATGGAGCCCAACTGGATGCTATACCACAATGTGCCCCCCGGATACCGCCGCCCGTACCCAAATGTATTACGGTCCAGCAACCACCCCGCTTGATATGCAAAAAACGTGTAGTCTTCACGGAAAAAGTAATTCCCGAACCTATGGTCGTGAATCGTTGCCGTCAAATCACCATACCCAAAGTGGTCGATACCACGCGAGTCATTAAAGTCCCCAAACTGACATGGGTCTCACAAATGGTCCGTGAACCTCGCGTAATTTATTATCCATCAATGGTGCCCGATCCATATGTGGTCTGTTATCCGAAGCGAATATGTGAGCCGAGGGAAGTATGTCAATCGATATTGTGTCAGCCGAAGCCTCAGACGCTGGATGTACCACCACCAAGAGAATTCTGCTGTTATCCAACAGGACCAATTAACTATAAACCGAGTGCTGCCTGTCCGCCATGTCCAATGGGACCTTCGTCGCCTTGTGGACCATGTGGTCCGCTGCCGTGTTTCTCGACCAGCCAGTATCCATTGTGTGAACCTTGTGGGCCGTGTGGACCTTGCGGGCCGTGTGGTCCTTGCGGGCCATGTGGTCCTTGTGGGCCTTGTGGGCCATGTGGACCCTGTGGTCCATGTTTGCCACCTAACTGTGGGCCTTGTGGAATGACAATGCCTTCCGGGCCTTATGTGCCAACACCAAGTGGACCCTGCGGACCTTGCGGCCCTTGTGGACCCTGCGGACCTTGCGGCCCTTGTGGACCCTGCGGACCTTGTGGTCCCTGTGGACCTTGTGGCCCCTGCGGCCCTTACGGTACGTGTGGCCCCTGCATACCTGGTTGCCCCTACGAAGCCCCCGAATGTGGACCCTGTTATCCTTGCTCTCCCACACCCTGGAATACTCAATGTGGACCTTGTGGTCCAAATGGGCCACAAGTACCTTGTGATCCCTGTGGTCCATGCATGGGACCCTGTAATCCATGTGGGCCGTCATGTTGAACCCAACACCTCACCCCCTCTCAATTTTCGTCTAAAGTATATTTTCCAGGTGAGTTTCATTGCCATAGAATTTACCTTGAGATAGCTAATATACTTCAAGGTGGATTCTAAATTGAGACTTCACCTTGGAAAATATACACACTCTTCCTGAACTTTGAAAATAACCTAACATTTATCTTTGTCCTCCTTTCCAGCCTAAATCCTGTCGCAGTCATGAATTACGTTCCGGCATTATGTACACCACCTGTGATTGCATCAAACGTAATGGTCTCCAGGATAAATGTCCACGTTCCCAGTGTCAGGGTCGTTCGGCTTGTATGTGTCTGCCAACACCAAATTGTTGTCCCGCTGCATTTCCTTTGCGATTTGCCAACATGACTATGGGTGTCAAGAAACGTCGTGGCGGTGGTAATTCATGTTCTCCACCAGGTTCCGCCTGTCCACCACCTTGTGGTTCTTGTGATACTTGTTGTGGACCATCAAATCCTATGGGTGCCGCCCCCTCACCAGTACCCTATTCGCCATCACCAAACTGCTGTCCACCGTTGCCGGAGGCTGGTATACCCGATCCAAGGATATGGAATGCCTGTAATACCCCACCATGTTATCCATGTAAGTTCGAGATTCTCTTCAATTTTCTGGAGACTGGGAAGGTGAGGATTTTTGAAATGTAGTATTCTGCCTGAGAATACTACATATGATAGATTTTCAGTCGATATTAAAACCTAGGAAATTCTTTGAAGACTGCGCTGCAGGTTCGAGGTATTTATGACTAGATTTGGAATCCAAGAATAATTGTTTTTGTTCTCCAGGGAAGGAGAAGGTGTTTGAAATGTAATCTGCCTATAAAGCCCCACATTTACGGATTTTCCGTACATATTTAAAAACCTTTCAGAAAGAATCTCAATATCTAGGAAATTATTTTAAAAGCAGGCCTGCAGAAACAGACTAGATTCGGAAACCGAGAATAGATTTTATTATTCTCCTTTAAAAAAAATCTCTTTTATTTAAAAATAAATCGTATATATTGCCTGTAATATTCTCCTCTTGTTATCCATCTAAGTCTAGGAGTATATGTTCTTAATTTCTACAAATATTTTGAAATGTAGTATTCTGCCTGAAACCCACTACATTTGACAGATCCTCCGTTTATATTAAGAAAACGTTCCGAAAGCATCTCCATACTATGAATTTTTGTTTTTGACTAGATTCCGAATCCAAAAATAAATCGTAATATTCTCCAATATTCTCCTTTAGAAAAATTATCTATGAACTTCTTCAATATTTACAAAGATTTTGAAATTCCGTCGGCCTATGTACCATTTATATTTAAAAACCGTTCCGAATCTCACTATCAAGGAATTGTGGTTGAAGTCAGGCCTGCTGACTCAGATTTTTGACTAGATTCGAAATTCAAGAATAGATTTTTTATTCTTATGTAAAACATCTCCCTTAGAAAGTCTTCAAAATTTGCAAACTTTTTATTTATAACTCCTCAAGGCCGACAAAAAAGGTCATACAGGGAGACCAGCTAGATATCAGCTGCCAAGATCTATTTATAAGGTCCCCAAGATAGCAATCGAAATCGAAAAACAGCTGTTTTTTCTCAAGTCTAATGTCAAAAATTTCGACTTTGTTTACGTTTTCATAATGGAAGTCAATTCACAATAATGAATTTTGATAGCAAACTTAAGAGGTTCAAGCCTATAAATAAGGTCATCCAGGGTGACCAGCATAGGATATCAGCTGCCTTAAGTTTACTGTCAAAATCCATTAATGTGAATTGACTTCCATTATGAAAACGTAAAATCAAAAATCCAAATTTATGAAATTCAGTTTTTAGAAAAAGCAATGACTTTGCTAGCTGTTTGACCTTTTCATAATGGAAGTCTTAAATCACAATATTTTTACAAAACTTAATTACAGGGATATCCAGCTCATGGCCTATTAAAAGTTCTTGTCCAAGACCTATAAATAATGTCATCCAGGGAGACCAGCTGGATATCAGCTGCCTCTCAAGTTTGCTGTCAAAATAAATTATTGTGAATAGACTTCCATAATAAAAACGTAAACAAAATCCAAAAATCCAAAATTCTGACATTGACTTGAGAAAAAACAACTGACTTTCGCTAGCTGGGTGACCTAATTAATAGATATTGATCTTGTCCGGATCTTGTCCATTTTTTGCAAATTTAATTTCCATAGGGGTCAAAACATAAATTGTTTCTCGATTTTACTTTACCGATCATAATTTTCCTTCAATGATCACCCATCCCCAAGGTCTCCCATCGAATTGTCCGGCCCGTTATTTAAAACAAGATTATCAAGCATGTAAATGGAAATGTGCTTGCAAGGCTCACTGTTATGGTACACCACCGAAACCATGTTGTTAGATTTCAATACTTTAAGGGGAGAAGAGAGATAGAGAGAAGACGGACTATACAAATATTACTCAGGACAGGACCACCTCATACTTTTAATATTTATTTGGTAAGGTTACTTTATATCCAAAATTTTGTAACATTTTTCTTCCGTTTTCTTATTTTTTCAATTACAGGTGGATTTTAAATGAAGTCTAAATGGATTTACAAAATCCATAACCTCAAAAAAGTTTACACAAAGGATCTGATAATTTAAGGACCATGTCAAATTACAATTTTAAAAAATGTTGTCTAAACATATGACTGAAACTTCCATAATTTGAAAACATATAAAAATCGAAAAATAAGAACAAGAAATTATCAAGTTTTAAAAAAAAAGCGCTAATTGCAGCGTTTTTTTTTATTTAAAAAAACTATATTTTTTTATTTTTTCTTTTTTTAATAAAAAATGGATAATTATAATTATATGTTTTATTAAAATCGACAGTTTTTTATTTCAATTATTTAATAAATCCACGCTTAATTGGACCCTCTAATAATATTCTTTAATAAATCCACGCCTCAGTTGGCCCTTGAATAATATTCTTTAATAAATCCACGCCTCTGTTGGCCCTTGAAAAATATTCTTTAATAAATCCACGCCTCAGTTGGCCCTTGAAAATATTCTTTAATAAATCTACGCCTATTTGGATCCCCTTAAAATATTCGTTAATACATCCACGCCTAGGTGGACCCTTTTATATTCTTTAATAAATCCATCACTATTTGGATTCCTCTAAAAATATTCTTTAATAAATCCACGCCTCAGTTGGCCCTTAAAAATATTCTTTAATAAATCCACGCCTCAGTTGGCCCTTTAAATATATTCTTTAATAAATCCACGCCAATTTTTGGACCTTCCAAAATATGCTTTAATAAATCCACGCCTATTTTTGTACCCTCCAAAATATTCTTTAATTTTCTTTTAAACCATTTTCTTACCTAGTGACCCCTACTGTGTTAAGCATTTAGTGTTCCCTATATAAAACAAAACAAAAGCCGTTTTACAACACTACTCTTGGACATGCTACCATCTGTCAAATAAAATCTGACATCTCCCATAAGAAAATCTCTGGTCTTTTGGAAAAGGTAGCAATTTATTCTGCAGATGTTATATTTTTTAGAAAATTTATAATGAAAATTAATAAAAATCTTCTCATTGCATTTACAGAACGTAGCACAACAACAAAATGGAACAAATGGATATGGAATTGAAGAAAGTAAGTAGCACCCGGGGCCAAAAAATGGCATAGCCCCAAATTGTGAGTCATGGGTTAATGGAAGTGAATTAATTTCTTGATATCCTTTTGTAGGCATTCACCGAAATGCAAATCAATAAAATTGAGACCACGAAAAAAATCAACATGATCGATATGAAGTGTGATATGGTCAAAACCGGCAAACAAAAATATCAGCTGACAGAAAAGGGTACCAGTGATTTAACCGATGATACAAGGTATGTGTGGGAGACCTCCTATTGGGTGACCATAAATAGTACTAAAATGTCTCTTGTTTTTAGGGTATATTTATCGGTGGGCCGCATGTTCGTCCTGACCAATGTCAACGATATGCGCGGTGATCTCAAAGCCAAACAAGAAAAATGTGATAAAGCAATTGATTTGCTTAGCAAAAAGAAGGAATTCTTGCTGAAATCATTAAAGGATCAAGAGGATGGCCTACGCGAACTGGTGCAACAGCGTAAAGAAGCCGAGGCAGCCAAATAGATGATAGATCACATCACCATCAACAACAACACACCAATAGCCCACTCTACTCCATTGCATTATCTTGGAACAGATGAACTCAAAACAATTTCTTTTTTTGCATTTAGCTTTAACAATGAACAACAAGATAAATGTTAAAACACGAACACAAAAGTAGCCATTAAATTATTTAATAACCAGATCGCAAGAGACCCTAATTTGAAATGGCTGGGACGATATGGACTCACTGGAAATGACAACCAAATATTTGGAGGTTAGTCTAATGGGTGTGGATGTTTTAAAAAATATGTCACCAATAAGAATATTTTTCAAGGCGTGGATTTTTTAAAGAATATTTTTTCAAGGCCTAGACAAGGCGTGGATTTTTTAAAGAATATTTTTTTCAAAGCCTAGACAAAGCGTGGATTTTTTAAAGAATATTTTTTCAAGGCCCAGACAAGGCGACGATCTTTTAAAAACATTTTTTCAAGGCCTAGACGAGGCGTGGTTCTTTCAAAACCATTTTTTCAAGGCATAGACGAGGCGTGGATCTTTTAAAAACATTTTTTCTAGGCCTAGACGAGGCGTGGATCATTTAAAAACATTTTTTCAAGGCCTAGACGAGGCGTGGATCTTTTAAAAACGTTTTTTCAAGGGTTTTCAAGGCTCTAAAAGGGCGTGGAGTTTTTAAAAATATGTTTTCAAGGCTCTAACAAGGCGTTGAGTTTTTAAAAATACTTTTTCAAGGGTTTTCAAGGCTCTAACAGGGCGTGGAGTTTTTAAAAATATTTTTCAAGGGTTTTCAAGGCTCTAACAAGGCGTGGAGTTTTTAAAAATATTTTTCAAAGGGTTTTCAAGGCTCTAACAATGCGTGGAGTTTTTAAAAAATATTTTCAAGGGTTTTCAAGGCTCTAACAAGGCGTGGAGTTTTTAAAAATATTTTTTCAAGGGTTTTCAAGGCTCTAACAAGGCGTGCAGTTTTTAAAAATATTTTTCAAGGGTTTTCAAGGCTCTAACAAGGCATGGAGTTTTTAAAAATATTTTTTTAAAGTGTTTTCAAGGCTCTAACAAGGCGTGGAGTTTTTAAAAATATTTTTTCAAGGGTTTTAAAGGCTCTAACAAGGCGTGGTGTTTTTAAAAATATTTTCTCAAGGCTCTAACAAGGCGTGGTGTTTTTAAAAATATTTTCTCAAGGCTCTAACAAAAAATACATTTTTTAATTCTCTAATTTTTATTACGTTTTTATAAAATCATCCAAATTGAAATTGGCATAGGAGACAAATTCATTACCCAAATTACGTTCATGTTCTGGATGAAAATTGCACTTTTTCACACCCGGCAGACTGGGCACCAGCCACTGTTCCACCACTTCACCCGAACAGAAAATAATTTTCCCACTGGGTTTGAGCAGATTTTTTATAATTTTCGATATTTTCGTGATACACTCCTCGGACAGGAAAGGTGGATCGGCAATAATGAAATCATATGAATGCCATAGATGTTGTAAATAATCGGGAATATCTGCCTCATTAAAATCATAGAATACAAAATCATCGCCATAGGCCGAAAAACGTTTGTCGTATTCGAAAATGTTGACTGGAAAAAAGGAACATAAAATTGTATTATTTGAGATATTTTGGAGACATATTTTGTAAAAAAAAAATAAATTACCATTCTCATGTATTTCCTTTATGGTACCATATAATGAAGGGCAGGATAGCAAGGCAACTTTGTAGTCTTTGGAGTTTCCATCAGCGGCCTCGACCAGTTGTGATACCACAGATCCCAAGGTCTGTTTGGTTTTGTTGCTATACCAAAATTGGCTTAGTTGCTGGAAAATAAAGCCATAAACATTTAGAACTGGAAAGGAGTGATAGGTTTGAGCCCCTTAACTCAACTTAAACCATAGTTTTCACTACTCACCCAATCCTCTTCGAACTCGGTATCTTTGCCAGCCTTTTGTTGCACCTTTTCCATTTCTTCTTGCTCCCGCTGGGCCTTCTCGGCCAGAAATTGTTGCAAAATGGCCATGGTATCGGCCGGTAGGCAAATATCATCGTCCTCCATAATTTTTAATATATGTTAGTCTAAATGTTTCGAATTCTTCTAGAGTTTATGGACAATTACACGTTTTCCCCCAAGAATTGGTTTGTTTTGGTTGTTATTGTGAATGATTGGATGTATGTTATTGGGAATGATTACTTGTTATGGTGTATCTTCCTCAATGACGGATAAATTATGACGGGTGCCATGTATATTGACGTAATATGTGACCAACTTGCTGTAACGCCACTGTACAACCCTATAGCATCCATTCACAAAAATATAAATAAAGGTGTAAGGTCACACGTCAAATACAAACTCCATATTCCAAATTATTTTTGCATGATTAAAACAAAGGTAATGCCGGAGACTAAGACCCATTATAAAGTAATCCAAGGCTTATTGGAGAGTTGTTGTTGCTGTAACAGGTTGGCTGTTGGTGAAAGTTCTCTCTGGATGAATAATTTGGTCTCATTAGAGGAATTCTGCCCGCAGGAATGAAGCGTTTTGCCGGTTTTTGATTAATTTCTCGGAAAATCACCTTTCGGGCACATACGGATGGCGGCATAGGACTTAAGGAGTCCTCAATGAATTTTGTGAAGCCGTGCCAGTTGGCTTTAATATAATTCATGAATGTACGCTGATCGGGCTCCACGAAACCGCTGGGTTTCACTACCGTGACCAGGATGGGAATATGGTCTGAATTTATAGCGACCTTGGTTTGCCAGGAAGTGTATGGAAGGAGCGATGGACTGACGATGGAAATGTTCGGAGGGCTCGAACACCTGGCAGTGACTCTGGTAGAGGATTCCTCTTTGATGGAAGCGAAATCAGAATTGTCTATCTGGTTTACAATACGAACACCGCGAGGATCATTTCGATGTTGGGAATACCATATCTCATGATGAGCGTAGAAATCGCCAAGAACAATTTTGTTGTCTCCCTGCAGCAGATGGATGATAACTGGCCTCAATGCTGTTGACGGGCGGAATATATACATTGACAATTTCAATTTCAGATTCGTCGGAATGAACTGAAATGCTCAAAACCTCCAGGAAAGGATCAGACCTGGAAGGAGACGGAGGGGAAGTCAGGGTACATCTGACATCTCGCTGGATGATGAATGCGAGACCCCCACAATGGTCTCTATCCCTGTCTCGCCGAATGATGTTGTAATTCCCGGAGGTGGATAAGGAACAACTGCTGATCAGCTTCGTTTTTTGCAAGGCAGCAATGAGGATATTGTTTTCATGCATGAATTTTGTGATCTCAATTACCTTATTCCTAAGACCATTACAATTAAATTTCATGATTAGGAATGAAGTATTTGGATCACTCCTCAGCATGGACTGCTGCTGTGGAGGCAGACGGGTGGAGTTATACGGCGGACGATAAACATGGCCATAGAGACCCCCACCATGGTCTCTATCTCTGTCTCGCCGAATGATGTTGTAATTCCCGGACTGCTGGTCAGCTTCGTTTTTTGCAAGGCACCAATGAGGATGTTGTTTTCATGCATGAAGTTTGTGATCTCAATTACCTTATTCCTAAGACCATTACAATTAAATTTCATGATTAGGAATGAGGTATTTGGATCACTCCCCTGCTGCTGTGTAGGCAGGCGGGTGGAGTTATTCGGCGGACGGAAAACCTGGCCGTAACGCTGTTGTCTGGATGGGAAGTTTTGATCATTCGTTGTTGGAATAAGATGACTAGAAGGAGTGCTAGTCGGAACACTAGAATGAATTCTACTTGATGAATGGCTAGACGGAGTGCTAGCCGTAGAATAGGAAGAGAATCTAGTAGAATAACTAACTTGACTTCCAGCATGAGCACTAGTGGTCGTACTACTGGATGGAGAATTAGACGGAGTTTTAGCCTACCCAGTTTTAGCCAATAACTAGTATTGGAACTGGTAGGAGTTGTGCTTAGTTCCACTAGTACTGACACTAGTAGCAGTACTACCGGATGGAAAACTAGACGGAGTGCTAGCCGTAGTAGTGGAAGGACTCAACTGGATTCTAGCGGATATTGCTGGATTATTAGTGCAGCAATCAGCTACAAAGCCTGAATTCCAATTCCTGAGTGAACGCAGGGTGGTACATCTTCTTATATGGCACCAGTTACTGCAACCGTTGCACCTTACAGATGTCATGTTTCTCCGTATGATTTCCCCGCAATCCGAACAGTTCCACTTGGAGTTCTGGGCAGGTTGCTGAGAAGGGATGGAATTTCTCGGGGTTGTTGGAGACAAGGTGCTGGATGTTGTAGGCTACAGACAACAGTTGGCAATGAAGCTGTGCGACCAGTCGCTGTGTGAGGTGAGACCTGAGCACCTCCTCAATGACACACTGAACAAAACCAGACATTAGGGCCTGGGTTTTGTTCAACGCCGGCACGGATTAAAAGAATGGCGAGCAAAGCTGCCGACATGATTTGCTCACCTGTGGAAAAAAACGTTCGTTTAGTACAGCTGTCGCTGAATTGACAATCCCTGGCCGAGTCGAATTCGGGTCATTCCGGAGCGTAGAGTCGATTGTCGTGTGAACGTATATAATTTGTTGTGTGACCTAGTGCTTTTAATCATTTACATCTCTATTGTGAATGATTACAAAGAGAGCTCACTAGATTCAGTCGTCGTTAGTGTTTTTCCTGTTTTATATCTAAATTTTAAAATATATTTGATAAATATACATTATTTTAATAATTTAATTGCTTTTTAAGTTATTTATTAATATTTCTCTTTATTATTTTAAATTAAACCCCCTTTTAACAACAGCTGACAATATGTCGTTTTTCGCACCTAGTGAACCCTAACCATCTGCACATTAAACTACTGACGTGTGTTGTTGTGTGCGTAAATATTAGCTTTCGCTTTCTCGCGGACGTAGATAAAAAATTTTTAATTTCTTTTCCATTCAATTTACGTAGTGCATATAGAGCTAAAGTTTTGAATAATACAATAAAAACCAGTAGTCGAGATATATCCATGTAAGTAATTAAAAAATATGTGAAACAAATAATTTAAAACTTTCCACTCAATATTAGATTGAAGTCCAAAATGTGAATTGTGGTGTTGGTGGTGGGGGAAAAATGATTTGCACAAGTGATGGTGGTCGGTCGGGGCGGTGGGCTACTAAATTACCTTACCAGTCAGCCAGCCTATCATCCGTCATGCATATTCATAATTCATTCAGATTTGAATTAAAAAAATTGAAAACCTCTTTATTGGAATGTTACAAAGTGCTGCCATTTACAACATGTAAATACAGCGCGCATTGCAGACCAGACCATATAGGAAAAACAAGATTAAAATCAATTTGGGTCACTAACTGCTTGTCTGCAGTGCAGTGTGGCAAGTCGGAGGGGAGGCAATAACAACAAAAACATTAAACCCCCCTGTACTTGTTTTGGAAAACTTTTTTGAAAACCCAGCACACAGCAGTTAGTTGCCAGCTAGTGAAGACCAGCAGTCAGTTAACCAACCAACCAGCCCCGAAAAAAATATGGGTAGCATAAAAATTGAGGTTAAATAAAAACAAAAATTTTGTGTGACGTTGAAACAATTTTTTAATGAGTCAATGTATCATTTCCCTTATGTGTTAACGTTTATCTCTTCCCCATTATAACCTTTCATTATGGTGGTTCATTTATTTTGTTGTTGCGCGCCTATGCAAAAAAAGTGAAATCTCTACTGATCTCATAGCCGACGAAACAAACAAACAGACCGATATGCAAAGAGGTCATTGCACCACACAACAACAAACAGTCTTATGAAATTTTGAAGTGAGAAATTCAGATTTTTTTTTCAGACGGATTTCAATATTTTTCAACAACTTTTGAATTTGATCTCCAATGTAATAATCTGCAATTTTTTTTTGTCTTCCGACAATTCACCCAATTATTATTTCCATCCGCCCAATTGTTTGTAAGGGATGCCCTTTTATTCGATTTTGTTGCAACACACACACATTCATACCCAGTTTTCATTACAAATGCCTTAATGTATTTTAATTAAAACACAATAAGCATCAACAATTTACTGAACTTTGGATATGTTTGTATTTTCATAAAAATCCAGTTTTTTTGTATTGAGTTTTTTTTTATTTCATTCATCAACAATTCATGCATGAAATCTTTTTGCATTGTTAAACATGATTGTGTATTTGTTTAAAAACAAAAATAATCTTGGGAGTTCGGAGCCTATAATTACAGGGAATTGTTGCAAATGGGAAGGGGCTAGGACAGCTCAACATAAAAGCTTCGATACGTGGTTCGTGAATTAAATTTACAATATGGATTTCAATATTCCATATGAAAAATTTAGCTTTTGGTTCTATATAAAATACTAAGGGCTTGTGGGTTTCACGTTTAGGTCTTCACACCATTCCGCAGAGATCAAAAAAAGTATTTTTTTAAAAATCCATCTTCATCCATTCTCACATGACCTAGCCAACGTAGTCGCTGCGTCTAACGTCTAACAATGTCGATGTCCCAGAATAGCAGGTACAACTCATGGTTCATTCGACGGCGATATTCACCGTCAACGCAGATCGGCACATAGATCTTTCGGAGAATTTTTCTCTCAAACACTCCAAGAGCTGTCTCATCTGCTTGCACAAGTATCCATGCTTCAGATCCATATAACATCACGGGTATTATCAGCGTCTTGTAAAGTGTGAGTTTGGTCTGGCGGGAGGTGGCCTTATTTCTAAACTGCTTACTTAGACCATAGTAGCATCGGTTGGCCATCACAATCCTTCTCCTTGTGCATTGATATCATCAGCTTGGTCTTCTCGCCGTTTACTGTTCAAAGGTGGCTGTTACCGCTCGCAATGTTCGACCCATTGTATCGATGTCATCGACGTAGGCGAGTAACATGTGTTGTTTGGTGTACAGAGTGCAATTTCAACGCCTCAACCCATTTTTTTATAGTTCTTATGGGTGAACTCGCGGCACATATTACCTCACTATTTCAACGGGTGATGAAAATAGCTAAAAAAATCCACGCCTCGTCTGCAGTC